TAAATAAATAAATAGTAACTCCTCATTCTCGCTTCCTCCCAACTTCAGGCAACCATTCTACTTTCTGTCTCTATAAATCTGACTACTGTAGGTACCCATAAAGTGGGATCATGGATGTGGGATCATACAATATCTATCCTTTTGTGACTGGCTTATTTCTCTTAGCCTGATTGTCTTCAGGGTTTGTCCATGTTGTAACGTGTGTCAGAATTTCCTTCCCTTTTAAGGCTGAATAATATTCCATTGTATGTATATACCATATTTTGTTTATCCATTCATGTGTTAAATATTTGGGGTGCTTCTACCTTTTGGCTATTGTGAATAATGCCATTCTGCTTCTACAAATGACATTTACTTTTAAAAAAATCTGAATTCTTTCTTAATGTATATTATTATGGAAGCATCCACTCTGAAGTCATGCATTCTCTGATTAAAGTAACCTTTATAGAATTGAGTCAAAATGGCCTCCTGTACCTCTCCTTCAAATTCTCTTATACTTGGGCTTTTCTCTGTATCTGTAAAATGATTCTGCTTTTCCCACCTCCATTTCAGCCTCTCTCTGGTTTGGTGATAATTTTTCTTTCTGTTTTCTCCTCAGAGCTCTAGTTACCTGTAAGGCTTCCAACATACCTGTCCTACAAACCTTATCTCTTTATGAGCTCTTTCTGTGAGTCTCATATCTCCAATTCCCTGGTAAGAGAATTACATTTGAATGCCTCATCAACACCATAGACTCAAAATGAGTAAGAAAACACCCTCTTTCTACCAAATAGCATTCCTATTCGTTTTCTATATTTCTACCAGTGGTTATCATTTGCTTATCAGTCCAACTACAAATCTTAGAGTCATCTTTTGCCTCAGTCTTTAGAGACAGTTACAAAGACTTGTTGATCCACTATAAACCTAGTGAATTTTATAGACTAAAAATTTGATTGTATCAAAGCTATGCCTAAATATTTTTTTAATGGCTCACAGTATAAATTCCAAACTTTCCATCATTACATACAAGACTTTTCTTGATGTGGCCACTGCTACCCTTTCCAACCTCACCGCTTGCCTATCATGCATAGAGAACTATTTGCAATTCTGTGTAAATGCCATGTCATGTCATTCCTATTGATTGAATGAATGATAGTACATTGTTAGCTTTGCTCAAATGTTGCCTCCTCTGTGAAGCTTTCCTAAATAATACCTCTGGGTGATGTTGGTCATTCTGCCTCCAAATTTCTGTTGTATTTTGTATTTATCACATCATATATCACATAATCATATTATAAATATCATATGAAATTATAATTATTTATTTGTATGACCTTCTTTTCTAAAAAACTATGAACTTATTGAGGGCACTGACTTTCATATTCATCTTTTAATTACAGTTCCTGGCATATGATGGGCACTTTTTTTCTCAATATGCAAAACTATTTGACCTAATGTTTATACATATGTATTTATTTAAAAAATAAACATTTATTGGGGCACCTGGGGTGCTGAGTTGGCTAAGCATCTGACTCAATCTGAGCTCAGGTCTTCATTTCAAAGTCATGAGTTCAAGCCCTGTGTTGGGCTCCACAGTGGGTGTGGAGCCTACTTAAAAAACAAAACAAACAAAAAAACCCATTTATCGTGATGATGTGTAAGTCAGTTGAACCTTCTTGGCAGTGTTGCATTGGCAGTTTGAATTGGGATATCCTGGACCAAGGCTGTTTTGGTAACTTTCTCTGGATTTGCTCACAGTTTTTCTTTTACACATGTGAATGGATTTTCTTTATTTTTTAAATTTAAATTCAATTAATTAACATTTAGTGTATTATTAGTTTTGGAGGTAGAGTTCAGTGATTCATCAGTCTTATATAATGCCCCGTGCCCATTACATCACGTGCCCTCCTTAATGTCCATCACCCAGTTACCCTATTCCCCCACCCACCTCCCCTCCAGCAACCCTCAGTTTGTTTCCTATGATTAAGAGTCTCTTGTGGTTTGTCTCCCTCTCTGATTTCATTTTGTTTTATTTTTCTCTGCCTTCCGCTATGATCCCGTTTTATTTCTTAAATTCCATATATGAGTGAGATCATATGATAATTGTCTTTCTCTGATTGACTTATTTTGCTTAGCATAATACCCTTTAGTTCCATCCACATCGTTGCAAATGGCAAGATTTTTTATTTTATTTTATTTTTTTTATGGTATTCCACATGGTGGGCACTTAAGTAATGTTTTTTGAATCAATGATCCAGGCTCATATTACTTCAAATTTGGACCATTGAAAGAGCCTTCTAACAGGTTTTCCTATATTCATTGTTTCTTATCTCATATGTATTCTATATCCTGTCAATAGATTAATGTTTTAGAAATACAACCTAACCTCAGGGCACTACTACAATCCCGTAAAGGCAGTAGCTTCCAGTTGTCTAAAATATAAAGTCTAAAATTCTTAGCTTGAAATTTAAAGGTCTCCTTAATCTAGTCTCCAAACTATCATACACTTTATCTTTTAAATTGATGAAGAGATTTTTATTTGCCACAGAGATATAACTAAAGTATGTTAGGATAAAGTACATTGCATTGTTATTTATATGTACCCCTTATTGTCAGACCAGTTGGAATCTTCTTTAGGATACAATGGATCTTTGCTCTTCTCCAAAGCATCTTACAGGTATAATGTTATCCGTTACTATTTACAGACACTTCCTGAAGTTCTTTGTTTCCACTTCCTATAATTCTTCTGCTTGGAGTTTCCTTTCTCCATCCTCTGTTTGTCAGGATTTTATCTACTCTGTATGCCTATCTCAAGTGCCAGTCTCTTTTGAAGTGTTTTTTTATTGCCTTTACCTTCTGCCACATTGGAATGAATCTCTTCTTCCTCTGTACTAAGTATTTTTGGTACTTCCATTTTGCCTTACATTTTAGTTAATTATATATTTTCTTCCCACTATAAAATTCAACAAAGAAAAGGATTTGGTCTTGATTTTCATTGGTCACTGTGTCTTAAGTTATGTTCCCTACTTTTTTTTTTTTTTAATGAAAAGATTGATCTGTAACTTCTGGAAGGAGGTGATAAAGCAAGGGCACGAAGTTATTTATTCTGTTATGCCTTAGAGTTTCATATTATTATGAACAAATTTATGATCTCTATTTGGAATTACTTGCAGGGTAAGTATTCACATGAAATAATATAAAGATTATTTGCTTACTCTAAGGGTTTTATTGGCTCTCCTGGAGAAGTGGGACAACTGGGACCTGAAGGAGAAAGAGTAAGTCCATTTCCTTCAAATATTATTTCTAAAGTGATATGCTTATAATAGTACAACAGAGTTTATAAGCTCACATATCAGGCAGGTAATCTTATGGAGTGAAGCAAGCCGGCTTTAAGAAAAATCACCTACCAGAAATATAATTAGACTCTCTGGAATTTTACTGAATTTTGTTTTAAGGAAGTAAGGTGATACAAATATATATGGTTAGCTATTTTAAATTCAATTTTTAAAAAACACAAGTTGAAATATTAAACTGTCTAATTATGAAAATTGTATTTTATAATTCATTAATCTTTAAGCATAAGCTCTTGACAGGTCTTATATTTTATAGTATAACACAGTAAATAATTAAGCCTCAGAAGATATATTTTTTGTTTAATAATGGAAGATAGCTGTTCATAAATGTAGGTATGAGACAGATACCTACTGTGAATAAAGGAAGGTACTTGTGAATAAAGATAGAATCTTTGCAAATGGTTGTTGTCTTAAAACAGTTAATCAAGATAGGTACAGAGTTCTGGCATTCCAACTCCATCATGTCTAGTTGTCAGTGTTGTATGCAGTTCATTGGTTTCTATTTGTATTCTTTCATTTTACTGTCAGTATTCATTGAAAAAATAGAACTGAACAATATTAGGTTTGAAAATAGAGAATCATATTCAGAATTTAGCATTCAATACTATTATTATAGGTGTGCTATTCAAGCCAGAGTTTTCATTTCTAGAAACTGGTTTTTGCAAGTGAAAGTAAACCTGATTATTCTTTGCTGGATGAATTTTTCAAATATATAGTTTGAGTGAATTATATCACATTTTCCTGTAATCACTTGTGAATTTCCTGACAGAGGAGAAATATTCAGAGTTTAAATGTGCTGCAGTGATAATCAAAATGTCCAGTCTTCTTTGTTGAGATGAGGTGAAGATTTTCCCTTGGTGAATATACAAGTCATTTCTTTCACTTGCAGAAATATCTTCAGTGTGATCCCACAACTAAGCTACTTAATTGCCATGTGATACAGCAGATTTATAGATCATGTTTCCAGTCTATTCATGCAAAGAATTGAACTGCTTCTCATTGACCAAAGGAGTATATACAGTTTACATTGTTGTTACTCTGCTGCTCATGATATGATACTTCCCTGACCTTATTTCTAGTTAGTAATGTAATAAATAAAGCAAAATTATATATTCTTGCAAAATGATATCAACTTGAATTTAAGGATCCCATCACTGACCAACATTAGGCACACTGCCTGTAATCATGCTCACTAGTTTTGACCAGTCTGTGTGAAAATATTAACACCTGTCTCAAATCATAAATATAAGACAATTTTGTGATATTATGACTATCATGGATAACATGTCCTAATATTATTTGGCTACTTCAAATTTTTCATTAAAACTATGAATAATAAAAAAACTATGAATAATATAGCTAACTGGGTGTTGTTATTATGTTATAAACTGTGTATGTGTAGAGAAGAGAGTAAAGAAGAAGAGTAGAGAAGAGCAGACAAAAAGAGTATATAATGCTAATCATTCCTGAAAACAAATAGAAAAATTCCTTCCTGGGAGTCAGTAATGTACATCTGTGTATATATATCTATATGACAAAGTGCTTATATAATTTTGTCTGTATTATCCTTGGGTTTCCTGCAGAGATTTTGTAGAGCTACTGAAGTTATAAAAAATAATTACCTTATTTTTTGAAAAAATGGTTGGCTATATTATGTAAAAATATATAAAGTCTTAATGAAATGAGTCCTATTGCTCACCCATACTCTTTTGATAAGACATTAGATAAGTATTTATCAAACACTGTTGAACTGAAAGTGGATGGATTACTTCAATTAATGATATCTTCTAACTTATCTGTATGTACTATAAATCCCAAGCTACATAGTTCTGGCAGATATCTTAGTCTCTAAGGCTTCTAAGTGATTCTAAGTCTCAACATGATTATATCAGTGAGGATATTTTGGACTGTCAGTAACAGAAAACCCCAACTCAAACTGGCTTAAAAATGAGGAAATTTTTAATAAAGATGGTAATGATAATAGCAAACAGTTTACTGAATGGTTATATATATGCAAGGCATTATGCAAATACTTTATATGAATTAACTCCTTTAATGCTCACAAAACCCAGTAAGATAGGTACTATTATTATTATTCTCACTGTAGATGAAAAAATTTGAGGCATACAGAGAGAAAGACTTATCTAAGACTATATACAGGTAATAAGAGCAGAGCTAGGATTTGAACACATGTTCGGCTCCAGTGCTTGCATGTTTACGTATTATGCCCTACTGCTTCCTATATGACCAGAAATCTATAGGTTAGGTGGGAGCTAGGCACAATATGATCTTGAGCACGGTGATATCATCTTTCTGCTTTGCCTTGCCTAATGTTGGCTTTACACTAAGGCAGGTTTCCCATACAGTTGCCGAATTGCCAGTGCAAGAGCTAACTGTGCTTTCGTTTATGTCCAGCCAGAGAGATAGGGAGACAGAGATGAGGTGATTGTCCCTTAGGTTTTGGAAAAGTAAGACCTTCCTGTTTATCTGGTTGTGCCAGCTTTGGTTGTATGCCTACCTCTGGACAGATAACTATGGGGAATGTCAGGATCCCATTTTAAAGTACAGATAGGATACATTCCAGAATAAAATCAAGATGCTGTTATGAAGAAGAAAAGGAGACACTTCAGTTAAATTAATATATTGAAGCTTTCCTGAATGTCATACCAGCTTAAAGAACAATTCATTTTTCTCTTCGTCATACTTCATTAATTGATGTTTGAGAAAAAAAAAGATCTGTAATATCTAACTCATTCATTTTTTTCAACAAATATTTATTTTTGACTTTTATATATTCTAGGGTGTTCCTGGGATCCGGGGAAAGAGGGGTCTTAAGGGAAGACAGGTAATTCAACTTTTGTCTTTTGAGGTTCAGTTCTGAGAAATATAATCTGATTATGTGCATATTTCTCACCTATACAAATATAAATGTAGTTTGTTCTTGTTGCCTACAATTTATCTCATTCAACAGAATTTAATTTTTGCTACCTTAACAGTCTATCAAATAATACCTGAGATTGTGAAGGAAATCTTAGATTAAAAAATAATGAAATTTAATGCTCCTAACCCATTTAACAGACCAGTGTAAAGGACCTTTATCTCTATGACAAGGAACTAAAATGTCAGAGAAAATACATGAACATTTAAAACACTAATGATAGCACTATTCACCCTCATGTTTTACTGGTTTTAAAAATGCCTGCTTCAGATATTAGCTCAAAAATTAGTTCACTACAGCTTCTTATATTTTCAGATTTAAGAAAATCAAGGAAAGTGAATTTTGCCAGATAATATAATAATTTCAGAGATGGGTAGAAATTTTGACATCAACCCATGCCCCCATCATTTAACAAATGAGAAAACTGTGGTTCAGGGAAGCATCCCCCCCTGTTATCCTGGCTGAGTTAGTAAAGCTACCTAGCCACCTCCTTGTCCCTTGTGTTGTGTTTACTGCTACCCACAGGTCTTTATTAGGGTAGCACTTTTTGTGCTGCACTGTGTTTTCTTTTTTTTAAGATTTTATTTATTTATTTGACAGAGAGAGACACAGCAAGAGAGGGAACATAAGCAGGGGGAGTGGGAGAGGGAGAAGCAGACTCCCCGCCCAGCAGGGAGCCCGATGCAGGACTCGATCCCGGGACTCCAGGATCATGACCTGAGCTGAAGGCAGTCGCTTAACCAACTGAGCCACTCAGGCGCCCTATCTCTACTTTAGATTGATGTTGTTTCCAAACCATTGTTCTCTGAAAAGAACAAAGTATGTTCACAGTTAACTGTGGCCTTTAACAGAAAAATTTTGCATTGCTTTTATTTTTTCAAATTCCATAAATGTAGTCATTAGTATTTTATAGTTATTTTGGTCCTCATACTTTCCTAATTATTTTATATGCAGTATTTTTCTAATTTCTTTGTCGAACTAGGAAAATGATTTTACTAGACTCCCTAAGCAATAAGTTTTCCACTGTTTCAAGATATTTAGATATACTACCAAGTTTAGTAACTGTGCTCTAAAATATTAATACCACTCATATATTCAGGCATACAAAGTCTAGAATAGTTCTTAGTGTTTGATAACTACCATGTTTGATTAACAGTACCATTGTTAGACCCAGGCAAGAGAGAAACTTGATCTGGGTGCTATACTTTTGAGGACTCTGTACATCACAAATAAATAAATGTATTAAAAATAAAACAAAACACATGAGTGCCCTGTCGCTCAGGATCCAGCAGTTGGCATTGGTATAATATGACCTGTAATCCTAGACAACTGCTCTTGTTACTGTTATCTATTGCTATATAACAAGTTACTCCAAGATAGTGGCTTAAAATGACAATAAATATATATTATTTTTCAGAGTTTCTGTGTGTTGGGAACTTGGGAATGCTTTATTTGGGTGGGTCTAGCATAGGGTTTCCCATGAGGTCACAGTCAAGATTTTGGGAAAGACTACTGTCATCTGAAAGCTTGACTGGTGTTGGAGGATCTGCTTCTAAGGGGGCTCACTTGCTGGCCAGCCAGTTTGGTGCTAGTTTCCTGGAAGGCCTCATTTCCTCTCCATAGGGACCTCTCCATGTGGCAACTAGAGTGTCTTCAGGACATGGTTGTTGGTTTGCACCAGAATGACGTGGTCCATGAGAGCAAGGTAGAAGGTGTAGTGCCTTTTATGACCTAACCTCCAAAGTATATTCTTTTGGTCACATAGGCCGGCCATGATTCAAAATGGGAGGGGACTACACAAAGGCATTAGTATCAGAAAGTGAGAATCATGGGGGTCCATCTTTGAGACTGGCTATCACAATTTAATGTCTTCAGGCCTCAGAGAAATTCTTCTCCTTATCTGTGGCCTATAATCTCATGTCTGAATGCTATGAAGCTTTGTAGGTGGTACAACTGCCAAAATTAGAGACAGAAACTGCTCAAGATTGTGGTGAGATTTAAGCAGGAAGTAGAAGCACTTAGGTGAGAGCAAAGATGAATTAATTAACTTCTCTAATTCTCCTTTCAGTATGAATGCAATAGAATCCTGTACAAAGAAGTACTGTTTCCCGATAATGCAGACTTCTATTTTCTTCCTTCTTTTTCTGTTATGATTTATGGTTTCAGAGGTAATAGAACTAGTGCAGTCTTTTCAATAGCTGCACCTAGAGACTGAAATATTTTGCATTATTAAGCAATTTATATTACTCCTAAATTTGCATTTCATAACTATAAACACAAAATTCATGAAGCATGAGTTTTGCATTAACAATTAGATGAATATGAAATGCTAAAATGATGAAGTTTTTAAAATATAGATATTAGATTAAATTTAAAAAATTTTAAGTAAATATAAAATTTTAATTTAACTAATATTGATAGTAATTATAATTTGCAATAGAAAATAAAAAAATCCATAGAAAGTCTTCAGAGAGGTGATCTATTTAAATTTTTAATATCTAGAAACAATGTAAGTAGTTTTATATTAAACATTACCACTTAGTAAAATTTGCAAATAGGACTTTACACAATCTCTACCTAAAGATTTAATTACCAATTTTATTAGTTTTCTACCACTGCATAACAAATACCACAAACTTAGTGGCTTACAACAACACCCATTTATTTTCTCACAGTTCTCCTGGGTCGGGAGTCCAGGTACTACTTAACTGGGTCTTCTGCTCAGGGTCACAAGGCTGCAGGCAGAGTAAGTGTCAGCTGGCTGCACGATCATTGGAGGCTTGGCTTGGGAAGAGTTCACTTCCAGCTTCATTCAGGTTGTGAGAAGACATCATTTTTTCAAGGCTGTAGAATTAAATGCCCTGGGCTTTTTGCTGGCTCTTGGCTATAGACCACCCTTAAGTCCTATGGACTGTCCACATTTCCTAGAGATCACTCACAGTTCCCTGTCATGTGGGAGATGGAATCTTATATAGTATAACATAATCATATCAGTGACATCCCATTACCTGTGCTATATTCTGTTTGTTAGAATAAGCAAATCATAGTCCCACTCTCACTCACAGGGTGGGTGTCACACAAAAGCAAGAACAGCAGGAGGTCAGAATCATAGGAGGTCACCTTAAAGTCTGTCCACTCTTACTGATCCAACAGTGGAAGTGAGCAAGAACATTATTCACGACTGCAAGAGATTGAATGAAATTCCTGAAATGTCATATTCTTCATAAGATAAAATTTTATGACTCATCAAAACGATTAAAATGTAAGAAAGAAAATTATGCACAACACAGAAGAAGCAGTGCAACTCTGGCTTGCCCATTAGTAGACAGTTATTACATTGATGAAATTGGCAAATTGGGCAAGAAAGGCAAAAACTCAAGCTTCCCTATGGATGATACCCCTGGAAAATGGTTATTAAATCCTTTGGCAGTGTAAAGGCATTCCTAGGAAAGCACAATTTGATTTAAATTAATGGTTATAATTTTCTACTGGTAAATGCGAGAGAAAATTTGGTATTTTATTTTATAACAAATTCTTTCAAATGGAGAAACTGTAGAAGCTATCTTTTGTATTCTAAGTTCAAAGGCAAAGTGTTTTGTCGCTATTGTTCCATGTTTCACAACCAATCTTTTAAGATCAGTTTTTTACAATGGAGATTTGTGGCTGCAAACCATTAGGCTCCTAATTAAAGGAATACAGAAACTCTCCTGCATTTAAAAAAATCATGCATGTAATTACTAGAAATGAAATAACAACTGATAAACAGCAAGCACATGACTTATTCAACAACATAAAACATTGGCATGATGCTTTTTAAAAGAAAGTATATGAAAACAATGAATCATGGAACACTACATCAAAAACTAATGATGTACTGTATGGTGACTAACATAACATAATAAAATTAAATTATATTAAAAAAATAAAAGAAAGTATATGTCCAGTATATAGCCAAATATAATGCTGTTTTTTGTGGCATGAACTGTGCTATATTTCATTAAACAGGAAAATATATCTAGATTTAATAGGAATTATTTCAGAAGTTGATGACACAATGGTCAACATATAGGAAGGATAAAAAATAATAAAACAAATGATCTGTCTAGACTAGAGAATTAAGAATGAAATTAAATATTTAATGGGTAGTAAAGTGAGAGGAGAAATAATACATAAAAAATTTAAAAGTAGGTATTACTCAGTTTAACTAAATTGTTTCAGGGACAAAGTCAAGTTGAACAGCTAATATTTATTATAATGTTGAACTATCAGAATAGGACGTTGAAATTAATAAGTATTTTATTATTTATTATGCTAGTGCAGGTTTTGTCATAAGTGAAGAACTGATCATAGTTCTCTCCCCTTCCCTTCCTGGGGTGGGGCGGGAGGGCGCAGAGAAACCAATAATTTTATGGAAAGCTGGACTGGAGAGCAGCTCCTCCTACTGGATGAGGATGGGGCCACTCAGTCCCAAATAGCACATCTAGGCAATCCTGAGTGAGTCCCCAAAGATGTTTGCAGTAGTCCCTCTCTGCTCCTTGTTCAGACTGATTGTGTCTTCATTTTTTAAGAAAAACTGTTGAGATCTCATTCACATACCATAAAATTCACCCTTTTAAAATGTACAGTTCAGTGGTTATTATTATATTGACAAAACTGTGTATCTGTCACACTAATTTTAGAACATTTTCTTCACCCAGAAAAAAACCCTGTGCCCATTAGCAGTCACTGCCCCATTCTCCCTGCAGCACCAGTCCGAGGCAGCCATTAATCTGTTTTCTATGTCTCTGGATTTGCCTGTTCTGGACATTTTACATTAATGGAATCATGCAATATGTACCCCAGTCTTTATTATTTCACTGAACATTTTGAAAAACCTACTTATGATCTATCTAAAAAATCAATCATCTGTTATGTTTCAGATTTATTACAGAATTTTCCTCCACTTTTTCCATTACCTGTACATCATAAATACTTGGAAATACCCTTATTAGCTCATACCGGATAGTGTGATATATTGCAGACATGTGAACTTGTTGACAACAGAATTTGACTTCCAAGGACAATGAAAGCAAAACGCCTGCCTGAACTTCAACTGACTTTGAAGGGGGTATGGCTACAATATGTTTGACTACGCAGATGGTTTCTGCATTATCCTCTGATTACAGAATAAGAAAAACTGCTTCTAGTATGAGTTAACTATGCCTTAGAAACATCATCCTTTTTTTCCATTGCTAAACTGTCTTTTAAATTTTGCCCATTCAAGTTTGTGCTAGTGAACCAGTGGTTTTTGGCAATCTATTAAATATGTATTTAATAACTGCCTAAATAAAGAGATTAGAAGACTCTAATAATGTACTTTTATTTCTGTTAGTCTTACAAAAATTTTAAAAAGGAATATTTTTAAAATGTTAATAATAAATCTTATAAACCATTTTGCTAAGTAGCTTTTAAAAAGTGAGCTTTAAAGTTGATAAATCTAGTGGCAAATCTTTAGAGAAGAATTTCAGTATATAAAGTAAGAGTAACTGAGTCACTGAGTTATTTTACAAAAGAATATATATTATATTAAGAAAGTGTGTTACTTACTATCCTTCATAGTTTTACAGTGTAGAATCCTCAGTAGGCATTTGGGAAACTTGATTTTCAGTGTCACTGCATTTTGTGGTTGCAGGATTTTTGTGCATTATGGCTTTCCCCAATAACATAGTACTTAAATGATATTTGTTACATGTTTATCATATCTTGAAATGATGAACTAAAATATTCAGTGTAGATGAGGAGAAAGAGCACTGACTCTGCATTCAGACTTCCTTCATTCAAATCTCAGTCCCACTCATGACTGGTGAGTGCAAATGACTTAAGCTCTCTGTGCTTCAGTTTTCTCAACTGCAAAGTGAGGATATGACTATTCATTGATTCGACTTGTTATGAAGATAAAAAGAAGTAGTATGTATATAATAAAGTGTTTAAAGCCCTAACACATGGAAAATGTGCTAAATACATGCTTAAATAACATTAGCCATTTCATTCTATGTGATGTGGGTTTAGGAATGGCATGAAATCACGGGGATAACTAACGGATTGGTCAGGCAGAAATCTTTGTTATGTTTTCTCTCATTCGGTGACTCTTTATATAGTGACGAACAAATGTATATTTTCTCCAACTTCACTTTCTGTATATGTTATTTGGCATATAAAATAATTTTTGTAAAACACAGAAATATTGTACTGAACAAAATCAATGAAGTATTATACAAAACAAATACAAGTTTTTGTTGCACTATAATTTAGAGCTTAGGAAAGAAATATTTCCTATTAGTTCCTTATCAGAAAGCACAAAAAATGAATTCTTTATCCATCTTGGTTTTAATAGCATTTCTTCTTTTTTCCCTGGGCCAGGGTTTTCCGGGTGACTTTGGAGACAGAGGCCCTGCTGGCCCTGATGGCAGTCCTGTGAGTACATTGTGGTGGTCCAGCCTTGCGATCTGGCATCATTCAGACACCACAGCACCTGCACTAGCCGTCCTCATTATGACATTCAAATAAGCACGATGGGCCAAACAGTTTTGAGACCTCTGTGCACATTCCAATTTGTAAAGATAAAAATGTTCTGAGTCAATTCTGTCTTGGGAGATAATCAGTAAAATAAATCGTTGTGACCATGTTAAATGTACCTGTGTAAGTGAAATGTTAGAAATATACAATCATAATACTGGCTTGTATATTTTTGGGATGAGGGGAAGCCTTTCATGTACATGAAGGTCCTAGCAAGCCTCATGTAAAAATTGTGCACTCAGTGACTGCTCTTTTTGACTCAAGCCTGTCATTGATTTACCTGACTTTTGGGTATTTATTTCTAGAGAAGTCTTCTACTTTGGGATTATTCAGCTATTATTTTCAGATTAAGGAGTTACTATTCTATAATTAGTTTATATTATCAAAGAATGATGATGGATTGTTGTTTTTTTGACATTAGGTAGAAAAATCTTCATTTTTTTTTTTTTTTGCTCTCAGTAAACATCTATCAGCTCTCTCCAATCTATTCCATGCACATGTTCTTTTAATAAGATTTTAAGGTGAATTAGAGTCAATCACTAAATCCTTATAGCCTAAATTAGGAGTAGTTCCTATATTTAGATATAGGTAAATTACTAGCATTTATACTTAAAGTGTTAGAAAATAGTTTCTTTTTAATTTATTTTTCTAAATTATAACTTTATTAGTTATTCAGTTAATTTAGCCAAAGTTTTATTTGTTGTAAGTCTTGGCAGATGAGAGTAGAACTGATTTCCAAATAAATTGTTAAAACCTGAATGATGTTTTAAGTAGAATGTTTACCATAGTTTTCTTGCCCTTGATTCTGGGGCAAGAGTATTTCAAGAGTAAAAAGTAAGCATTATTTAGTTTTTCCTTTAATACCATTTATGTATTTGCATAACTACTGTGAAGCCATCTCATTTAATTTTTTGTCAGTTAAACATACATGAAGATTGTTAGGGTTTAAAATATTTCTTTTTGAAATCTGCTCTTTATTTAAATATAATGCTTCTTGAAGAGCATTTTCAGGCTTTACTATCTTTAAGATATAATAATAAACTGGCTGCTTTAGTTTATTGGCTTATAATTCTCTATATTTTTTACTATACCTTATTTTCAAAACAGAACTTGAAATGCAAAAAAGGGGGGGGCGTTCTTGTACTTTGTATCATGTGACACTGCCATGGAGTGGATTAGGAATGATCATAAAGACTATAATGACAGGTTCAAAAGACCATCACAAATCAAGTGGAAAAATTAATATTGATAATTTAAAATCTCATTTATTATATATATAATTAATGATATTGGTAATTTCTTACATTTGTGAGAAATTTTTCAAAACCTTTTGTACATTATAACAGTTTTCATTGTGATCTTTACATCAGTGAGAACAAGTGTTATTATTCCTTTATTTTTTTAAGTAGACTCCATGCCCACTGTGGAGCCCAACATGGGGCTTGAACTCACGACCTTGAAATCAAGATCTGAGCCGAGATCAAAAGTTGGACACTTTAGCTGACTGAGCCACCCAGGCATCCCCAAATGTTATTATTCCTATTTTATAATGAGAAAACTGAAGTTTAGAGAATTTAAATATTATACTTCGAGAGTGGGTAGTGTTTTAAACCATCTGAAAATGCTCTTCTAACTCTATACACTGACAACTTATCTTTTTATATAATACATAGGTTGGTTATGTCTATAATGCTGAATACTTATAGGATTTACTTCCTTTATTAGATATATAAAAGACACAGAACAATCTATATCCTAGGCTAGGTGGTAGTCCTGGCATCCAAAAGCATGGTGCCAGGGGCATTTTTGAAGAACTTAAACTGCCACCAGAGATTTACACTTAGGAGGATGCATGAGGGTAAAATTTGACATATTTTTTTTCTAGAAATATTTGTCTTTGACTTTGAAAAATGCTCTTAGTAGTTTGCAATTGTATTTAACCAACTTTGTACATTTCTTTTATGTAGGGACTTGTAGGTAGCATTGGTCCTCCGGGATTTCCTGGGCTTAGAGTGAGTATCAAGTATTATCGTTCGTATAAAATATTGTTTATATTTGTTAGATGCATTTGAAAATCTTTAGAAAAATGAGATGTTTTAGCATCATTGTTGGATATCAGACTTGCTCAAATGTATTTTCCCACCAGATAAACAAATTAGACCAGGAGTATGAATCAAAAAATTAAATTTTATGATAACCTAAAATAACAAATTTCTACAGATTTACGTGTACATCTGTATTTATGTCTGTCTCATTAATAGATACCTAAGACTCTGTTTCTTCAAAAGTATGACAGAACAGCCACTTCTCTCCTTTGGAATACTCTTTCATACCATGTGGCCTGCCTCGATAAAGATAGGTCTAAATATCATACCATACCATGTTATAGCACATGGTAACTGTATATTTTACTTCTGGAATAAAATTGAATAAATGGTTGGGAAACATCCTGAACAATAGGTAGTAGTTGCACTTCACTAATTCTGCTAAACATTTTTTTAAGATTTTTTTTTTTATGTATTTATTTGAAATAGTGTGTGCATGAGCAGGGGGGAGGGGCAGAGGGCAAGGGAGAGGGAGTAGCAGACTCTCCACTGAGCAGGGAGCCTAACAACACAAGGCTTTACCCCAGGACCCCAAGATCATGACCTGAGCCAAAGGCAGACACCCAACTGACTGAGCCACCCAGGCACCCTGCTGCTAACATTTTAATACCTAATTTATTATACTAAAAATATAAGTGATTGTATTATTTGTCCACTTACTCACTTTTATTCAGTGAATTTAACTCTGAGTTTCACTGGAGTTTCTAATGTAGGCAAAGTACAATTTAGTAAAAGCAATTCTGTGGAGACCAAAATAATCTACTCCAGATATGTAGTGATCTGATAAATTTTAGATTATTCATTGAAGCAAACAGACTGCTACTTCTGCCATATCTTCAGAAATATATTCTCTCAGTCAAGCTTATGTTCATGATAGAGATGTAAGTTGCAGATATTTTATATAAATTTAAGAGCCATGTGCTTTAACAGTTAGCTGAGCCAAAAGCAAGATTCACATACTTCTATAAAATGTAAGGAGCCCAATGAAAATAGAATCTTAAAATTATATGTATATCCATATAAAAATAGGAAATGACCATGGGCAGAGGTAAGATTTTCCCTAAAAATCAATTTAGGGCTTGCTCGTAACACATGAAGTAGGTAATTAAGACTCCAGAGTTTTATGCCATAAATTACAGCCACAATTATTTTTAGCTCGAATTTGAACACAGGTCTTTTGAGTCTAAATTTAATGTTTTTTCCCCCACCTTAACTGCCCAAGGCAGAAGGTGACAACTTGACCAAAGGAATACATCAGGAGTTCAATTATTGGAACTATGGCAAAAATCATTATAACAAGTTTTAACTTGCCATTTGGGGCTGGCAAGAGTATAGAATTAAAAGTCAGAGAACCTGAGTGAGTCTAAGACATTTAAACTTTTCTTTTACATGATAATATAACAGCTCACTTTTTAAAAAAGAGATTTACTTATTTTTTAGGGAGAGAGAGAGAGCATGGGGAAGGGGCAGAGGAAGAGAAGCTCAAGCAGACCCCCTGCTGAGCGCAGAGCCCAATGCTGGGCTCAGAGCAGGGCTCGATCTCATGATCCTAAGATCATGACCTGAGCTGAAACTAAGAGTCAGATGCTTAACCAACTGAGCCACCCAGACACCCCAATAACAGCTCACTTTTATTTAGTATTTTCCATGTGCTAGTCAGTGCTAGGTCATTTAATTCTCAGAACAAGCCAAGAGCACTCACTTCATGAGTGTTAGGCCCAGATTTGAAGCCAGGTGATCTAAACCAGAGCCCAAAATTCTACCAGTGTGCTCTACCACCTCCTGAAAACTTGTATTACCTTGAAATGTATACCATTTATCTTACGAGATTTCTTTAGGCTTCATGAGAAGCTCTGTTTGAAGGTGGAACCCAAAGGACCAATTTTTTTTTCTCTGAACTTAGAATAGGATTAAACCTGTAGGTGGTAGTCGTGGCCTTACCGATGGGGAAGAAAGGAAGCTGGGGAAGGGAGTTGGATTCCAAAGATAGTCTTTATGCATTCTTCATTTAACCTCTCAGCTGGTTAACTCAGCAGCTTCTTCTATTACGCTCAAGTTTAAGACCAAAATTCTTAGCATGTTTAGACTGTTTTGGTTCTCATCTGCATCTTGAGACATACTTTGTGCACTAGCAAAACTGTTTATTCTCAGGTGCCATGCAGCCTTCCTACAATATGGCTTTGCACTGGCACTTATTTGTCTACCTGGAACACTTTACATGTACTTTTCTACCTAACAGTTAACTCTTACTCATTTTTCAACTCCAGGACTTCGCACAGTACCAACACATAAAAGTGCTTAGTAAAAATAACTGTTTTTTTTGTTGTTGTTGTTTTGTTTTTGTTTTTTGTCCTTTCTCTTTCTCAATTTACCCTTTGGTTGCTGGGAAGAGATTCTACAGAAAAGAAAATGGTGAATAATACTAACAGTCATCTTTGTAATCCTCATCTCTACATTGATTTGATAGTACTTTCACACACATATCTCATTTGTTCCTCAAGTAGATATAACAGGTATTATAACCTCCATTTTACATTTACTGAATTTTTAAATCAAAACAGTGTGAGCACCTACTGTGTATCAAATGCTGCACTAGAGCTAGGCCTAAAAATACAAACAAGATTTCTGTTTTTTGGCAACATTATAATCCAATGGCATAGAAGGAAAAATAGATATATCATACGATGTGATCACTGCTCTAATGGACTAAAAACCACTGAGAAAGGAACAATTTATGTTATCTTGAGAGAGGAGGCTTCACAAAACATGTGTTTTAACTATATCTTGAAGATTATGCGTGAGTGGTGTGGAGTAGACAGGAAAGGGGCTCTTTAGGCAGAATGCCTCTTTAAATGCACAGAAGAGGTGAAAAAAATGCGATGTTTGGGCAAGGGGAAGAGGAGTCGAGGGATTGTAGCCTAGGAAGTATGGGGGGATGGGGGTGGAATTGAAGGAGGTGAGGTTTTGAAGATAATTGTGAAAAATTTATATAGAACCTTTATATTTCATAGTAAACATAGTAAACTGCTTGCTCAGTTTATCTGCAAGCACACATCTACCTGTTCCCTTATAGTTTCTGACGAGAGATGATACAGCTTTCTCCAAATGATTTTTTCCTTGCAGCGGATTGTCATTTGCTTTCTTAATTAGTGATAGTGATTATTACCTGTGAGTGTGGGTGGGTGTGGTTGGAAAGCCTGAAGAGAACCCACAGTCTTCTCTACAGCGTGCTCACTCGTATGAGCTCTAATTGGCTAGCGGCTGCTCATTTTATATGAAGAACCTATCCTTGAATCTCTGTTTCTTTGACTCACTTTGACTTGAAAGTTCTTTATGATTTCTGGATGTGTGGGAGGCTCTTCTGCCTTTGGTGCTGTATCCCAGACACTCTCAGCTAAGCTGCCACGCATGGAAGTGTTTCTCCTGTCTGCTCTGTCTTCTCATGGAAGAGGAGTATGGTAAGCAGAGAGTTCTGAAGACTTTCACATTATCCTGTGGAACTGAAAACTGCTCTTAGCCTATTGCAGGTTGCTTTGAGAAAGCTATAGTTCTTCAGTACTAGGATTTTCCACACCATTTGTAACATACCACAAAATGTTTGCTATTTCTTGGAGCTTTCTATACCCATACTATTTTACTAAATCTTTTATATATATATATATATATTTAAAGATTTTATTTATTTATTTGACAGAGAAAGAGAGCACAAGCAGGGGGAGCAGCATAGGCAGAGGGAGAAGCAGGCTCCACGCTGAGCAAAGAGCCTGATGTGGAATTCGATCCCAGGACCCTGGGATCATGACCTGAGCCGAAAGCAGATGCTTAACTGACTGAGGCACCCAGGCATCCCTAAATCTTTTATATCTTTACTATAATCTTTTACATCTTTGATATCTCTCAACACTTACTATTCTGTGTTAATTCTTTTAGGGTCACTAAAAAAGTAAAACAGTAGATTGTGCATACAAAGTACATTCATCTGAAGATATTAGTCTATGCAGTGATATATTTACTGAAACAAAGTTAATATTATTGCCTATAGAAAAAACCAACAGGATGACAAAGAAATGTTTGTTTATGTTTATAACATTTTTTTATTGTTTTTTGTTATGTTAATCACCATACGTCATTAGTTTTTGATGTAGTGTTCCATGATTCACTGTTTGCATATAACACCCAGTGCTCCATGCAGAATGTGCCCTCCTTAATACCCATCACCAGGCTAACCCATCCCCCCTACCCACCTCCCCTCTAGAACCCTCAGTTTGTTTTTCAGAGTCTTCCATACTTACATAGATTATTGCTGCATAATTTCCAAACAGAAATGCTTATTGTATTTTTTGAAACTCTCATTATTTTTTAAGCTATGAACTTTGAATAAACTAGCCACTGTAATTATAAGAACAATTGTTTCCTACTGATAGAATTTGTCAGTGATATATGAATATTGCATATCTGTTTATTAAGTTGGAAAATATTACTCTTTCCCTCTCACAGTCTCATATATTTCAGGATTAAACATATTGGAAATAATTTATCTCAGTTATATTTCACAGACTTTAGGACTCACGCAAAAGTAAAGATGTCATATTTTCCATTCTGAAATTTGTATTATATGAATGCAAACTATTAGCAATGCTCTGTTATGTTGGGAGATAGAGTTCTTGAAATCACTGTTTAAAAAAATTTTTTTTACTGAAGTACAATTAACATAGTGTTGTATCAGTTTCAAATGTACAGTATAATCATTCAATAATTCTGTACATCAATCAGTGCTCATCACGGTAAGTGTACTCTTAATCCCATTTATCTATTTCAGCCATCCCACCACTAACCTCCCCTCTGGCAACTACCAGTTTGTTCTCTGCATTAAGAGTCTTAATTAATTAAGAGTCTGGTTTTTTGTTTGTTTGCCTTTTTTCTTTGTTCATTTATTTTGTTTTTTAAATTGCACATGTTTTTTAAATTGCACATATGAGTGAAATCATATGGTATTTGTCTTTCTCTGTTTATTTTACTTAGCATTTTAACCTCTAGGTCCATCCGTGTTGTTTCAAGTGGCAAGAAACAACAGTCTTTTTTATGGCTGAGTGATACTCCAGTGTGTGTGTGTGCGTGCGCACGTGTCTTTTTTATGGCTGAGTAATATCAGTCTTTTTTATGGCTGAGTAATATCAGTCTTTTTTATGGCTGAGTAATATCAGTCTTTTTTATGGCTGAGTAATATTCGTGTGTGTGTGTGTGTGTGTGTGTGTGTATACCACATCTTCTTCATCCATTCGTCTATGGATGGACATTTGAGCTGCTTCCACGTCTTGGCTGTTGAAAGTAATGTTGCAATAAACATAGGGTCCATATATCTTTTCGAATTAGTGTTTTCCTTTTCTTTGGGTAAATGTCAGTAGTGGAATTACTGAGTCATATGGTAATTCTACTTTTTAATTTTTTGAAGAATGTCCATATTGGTTTCCACAGTGGCTCCACCAATTTGCATTTCCACCAGCATGCACAAGGCTTCCTTTTTCTCCACATCCCCACCACTAGTTATTTCTTGTCTTTTTGTTTTGGCTATTCTGACAGGTCCTTCAGTATTCATTCCATACTTTATTTCAAAACAATTATGTGCCAATTACTATGTTGGGTCTGGGAAGTAAAAAATCAATAAACTTGCTTCTGCTTTCTCAGAATGTGTGGACTAGGAACACAGAGGGGAGTATAATACAGTGTACTCACTAGTGCAGTAGAAAGCCATTCCAGTATTGGTAACCATATTTTCGAAGGCTTGGAGCATGTGATAAAGAGAGAGAATGTTCAGAGAATGGAAAACAGTCCATTGTGGCTAGAATGTGGGATTTGGAGGAGGGAGAAGTAAAGGAGGAGTAGGGACAAATGGAAGTAGACAAGACGGGAAGGGTTGGTGCAAACCTGGTAGTGAGGCCTGGGATGCTTTCCTAAGAAATTTGGTAAAAGGGGCAACATTTTTAGCATGGCCACAGATACACCTTTAGAAGTTCCTTAACATTTGAAAACCATAAAAGGGAGGTTTAAGCCAACTTGTTCTTTGAAGATGAAGGATGATACAGAAGCTAGGCACAGAGAGGTAGCAAGAGAAAGAAGGATAATGAAGGTGTCAATGACATGAAAATTGTAAGTGATCCCCAAGCCATTTTTTTTCAAATTTTACTTTGAAATACCCTTATTGTGGCTATTGTCCTTTGTCTTCTAAGATGATGTATTTGAGGAGTTTTTAAAATCACTTGCTTACTGGAGATGATAGTTTGTTACATTTTTGAGGAATCTTGTGTTGGAGCATTAAACTGAGAACCTTGATGTTGGTGACTATGTCTTTTTCATCTTTATTTCCTCCACACAACTACAGTGTCTGTGTACATGTTATGTTCAACAAATGTTAAATGATGTATGACTGACAGAAGCCCAGAAGAGTAGAGTCTTTTGTTCAGTACTCAGTTTATCCCTGAAATTATGGTAAATTTTATCATTTGCAAATTTCAAATCACAAAATAAAATCACTGGAATGCCTGGAACATAGTAAGTGCCCAATAAATAATTCCTGAATAAATGTGTGAAATAATAATGTAAGATGATCAAATGAAGTATTAATTGAATACCTCCTGGGAATGTGGCACTAAAATATTTCCCTTATCTTCAAGATATTATCTAGTTAGAGAAATATTTCAAGATGCATGTCATGGACAGTTAAGCATTATACGAACTAAAGGAAGGGGAGGATCCTTGTGGACTAGACTGGTATAATAGCTTCAGGGAGTAGGATGACCTCGCTAAAGTTTCAAACATTGGTATGATTTATTAATGTGGAGAGGAAAAGAAGTTGTGGAAGAACAAGGCACATGGGGGAGCTTAGTGAGATGAACTGTTCTGGGTTAGTTCATTAATTTTACCATATTCTCTTTCCAATCCTAGTGGATGCTTAATGATACCTTTCTGTCTAATTGCTTTTCAGGGCAGTATTGGCCCTATTGGACCATTTGGACCTTCTGGAACTCCTGGCCCGATGGTATGTCTCTATTTGCATAATGGATATTTCCCCTTAATTTCTCTACGATGTCACAAAATATCACTTTTTTTTTAAGGGTCTTTCCGGGAGTAAGGGCCTACCTGGAATCAAAGGTGATAAGGTGATTTAAATATTTACATTATCATAGAGATAATTTCTCATCACATTTATTTTTTCTTTTTAGTCAATACAACTTATAAAATATCTTGTTTTTATATATGGGATCTAATCTGTACTGTCAAATATACAGTTTTTATCAGAAGTAGGAAAAATAGAGAAACTATTCTTCTATAATTAATTTTACTTTCTTATAATATTGCCATGTTTGTGTTGCTTAAGTGTCTTTGTATGAAATTGTGCCCTCTAGGGTGAACAAGGCATTACAGGAGAGCCAGGAGAACTAGGGTATCCTGGAGACAAGGTAATTTTTTTTTCCATTTAGTTTACATAAATACAAAAAATTCAGTGAAAAGGTATAAATTCTTTAAAAAGAAAGGAGTATGATTATTTTATTTTTTTATTTTATTTTTATTTTATTTTTATTTTATTTTATTTTTTTTAAAGATTTTATTTATTTATTTGAGAGAGAGAGAATGAGAGAGAGCACATGAGAGGGGGGAGGGTCAGAGGGAGAAGCAGACTCCCTGCCGAGCAGGGAGCCTGATGCGGGACTCGATCCCGGGACTCCAGGATCATGACCTGAGCCGAAGGCAGTCGCTTAACCAACTGAGCCACCCAGGCGCCCAGGAGTATGATTATTTTAACCATGTAGTTTGTTAGGATATGGTATCAATATGGTTTTACACGTCTTGTTTGAAATGGTTTTCTCAAAGTTTTTAGATTCACTCCATTAATTTTTTAAGCAGTTTGTATACAGAGGCATAGCTGCCTTTTGTGGTGTGATAGCTTTCATCTTCTCCATTATTCTCACCCTCTAGGGTGCTGTTGGTGTTCCAGGACCACCAGGGATCAGAGGAAAGCCAGGACCTTCAGTAGGTTTGAACTTTTGTTTTGCTCTTTCCCATTAACGAAGTGTACATCATGGCATGAGTCTTCACACTTGTTGGTATTAGTAGAATATAAGAAGTAGGGGATAAGCCTACCAGTCTGGCATTTTTTCTCTTCAGTTTTAGGGTATAGCTAATCCTTCAAGTTTTCAGCTCGCATTCCATAGAGTATTGGACCTCATCCTTCCTGCCCCCCACCTCATCCCAGGCCAAAACCAAATTTCTGTGAGCCCTAAAGATCTTGTTTGATCTGTTATGGATAGTATCTAAAGTAAACAATGGACATTTCAGACAGAAAATACAAAGCACCTTAAATAATACTTCTAATTTTTCCAAATATCTTTCATTCCAATATATTTCATTAGAGAAATATTTTGAAGAAAAGATAGCATGTCACACTCTGTGGGCACAAATATACTAGTTCTTTGTCTTTTTTTTTTTTTTAACCTTTGGGCATCAATTAGTTGGGGGAAAAAAAAGAATATTTTATATTGTAGTTAACATGAAACCCAACTCAAACTAAAATTACTGAGTAATTAAAATCATTTAAATAATGGTTAAAACATGAGTTAACAGTATGTCTCTATATATTAAAAGTCATAATAATTATAGCTAAGATTTACTGAGTGTTTACAAAGTACCAGTCTCTATTCTAAGGTCTGTACCTCTAATTTAATCTTTACAAAAATCATATGAAGTTGGTACTATTATTATTCTTATTTTACAGATTAGGGAAACTGAAACACAGAGTCAAATAACTTGCCCAAGTTTCCATAGTTAGTTGTTGGTCACCTGGGAAAACCTAGGTAATCATGTGTCAGAGCTCACGTACTTAGCCACTATGCAATACTGTTTGAGGGTTCAAAATTTTAAGATTGTTTTAGGATTTTTAATATTGATTACAACTCTATGAAGGTGTAGGTGATTGTAGATAGAAAAAATAGATGGAAGATTATAACTTATTAATATAACATTAAAATATACATTTGAAAGAGTGTTGTTCCCTGAGCAAATCATCGTGTTTCCTCTAACTCCCTCCTCCCATCTCAGGTTTGTTTATTTTTTTGTCAGAGGAAGCAGCATTAAGTTATAGTACTTTATATACTTCATTCTGTATGACTTCTAACAGTGACAGCATTTCATATACATCTCTCAGAAAGTATTTATTCCAAAGAAAAATGTTCAGTATCTTTTTGTCAAGTGACATGCTGGTGATGAGCTTCACTCTTACTTTTTTGCCCTGGACTCAGAGTAAACCTGGCCAGTCATGTATCCAGCCTTGGGCTCTGGAGTTGAATCTCAGAAATTCCAAAGAGTATAAATAAGGGACATAAAAATCGGTCATGAAACCAACAAAAAGCTTCCATTTTTCAAGGATGATTCTAATCACATAACAGGAACTTACAATATCTGCAGTGTGGTTGGCAAAGTAAGACCCTAGACTTCTTACATCCTCAGTTATTCATAATGTGAAGGTTTTCTGACTTTTGATAATAATAAAAGGAGCGGGTACAACACATTTTCTAAGGCCAATACTAAGTAATAAATGGTATCAATATTATTCTGTAATGCTTTACAATTAATTACTAGAGAAAACGGAAGTCAGATATCATGCTTATACAAAGTAAACCTTTTTAATGTCTCCCTTACTTTTTGATACAGTGTATATTGATAACATGTTTGTTGTGAGGCAGGGGGGATATACTGCTCTGAGAAACAGAGACTTAGATTTTAGTTCCACCCCCGACACTGACTTGCTATGACCTTGAGCATTTAACCACTGTGTAAGTTCCTTGCAAATCTGTGACTCTTTAATTTCCTCTCTCAGTAATAGTGTTTACCAGTATTTCTCCAGTCTAACCTAAAAAAGGGTGGAGAGCCTGTTTCACCTTTAACACATTGTCCTAAAACCCTTAATGTTATTTTTTTTCCTGAAATAAATCACCAGAACCAACTCTAATATGTTTTTTTAGGGCTGTGAGGCAGGGAGTATTAAGATGATAAAAGTGAGGCTTTTACTTGCTCATTTTGTACCTTTCTGTATTTTTCTAATAAAAAAAAACATTTTAATGTCAGCAGGGATTACTTTGGTAGAAGATAGTTGACCATCTTCTGTTTGTTTTATCAAATCTTTGAAAAATATACATCAGACTGAAGATAGGCTAGATATTTATGAATTAATATTTGTGAGCATCTGTAGTCTCTCACTTTATCACTTGTTTGTATCTTATTAATAGAAAAAAACTGTAGGGGTTTGACCTGGAAACCTTCCCTAGTTTTGGAAGGAGACACCTGTTTAATGAAAAATTGCTTGCGCTGAATCTGTTATATTAAAAAGAAATTATACAAGTTAGTGCCTATCTAAATCATTTGTTTACTATCATGACAAAGAATGTCAAAGTCATAAGGATGTCTTTCTTATTTTATATCTCCTACATTTGGCTTTTTGTTTTCTAAGATGCCGGCATTAGTGATATTTTTTTTCCCCAAATGAATCTAAGTTGTAACATGAAAGAATACTTACAAGATAAAAGAAAGAATGTCCTGATTTGGAAAGCTTTCTTCATTTTGGAATTAGGGAGTCTTTTGCTCAACAAGCATCTAAAAACCAGAGACAATCACCAATCAGAAGTTAAGAAATATTCTTTCCTTAAAACAAAGAAAACAAAGACAATTATTATGTTTTTCCATATTTTTAACTAGAAGTTGTCAGTTATAGAGGTTTACTTAATCATTACTCCATTGTCTAAAACTTACTTGAAAATTCAGTTTTTATAAAGGAGATTTGACATTCAAGGAAACTTCCAGTTGAAGTTTTTCAAAAATGAAGATTTATTCTGAAGAATGAAATTTTTCCAAAATTTGTGCTTTTAACTATCTGGTTGTCAATTAACTTTTCTGAAAACAAAGACATAGAGTATGTTATTTTTTCCTCAAAGCTTGTAAATTTAGCTTCTCATTTGTTTTTTTGCCACCAGAGGTCTCCAGTGAGAGCCCCATCTTTATCTCTTTAAAGAGGTACTTGCCATTTTAAGAATTTAAGACTCTAGATACTAATTATGATGAATTATGACTTTATTTAGGAGAACCTAAATCAAGTCTTATATAATACTTCATTACTTTTCTCTGGATTTGATTGCAGTAGTTCTATTGTGTACTGTTTTGTATCCAGATACCCAGATACTTAAGCGTTGTATGAGAATGACTTTAGTGCTTATGGAAAACTGTGCTTTACTTCTTAAAACGTGGATAAGCACACATTATTTCTTGTAATTTTATGTAATCTGAGACCTATTAGGTCAAATTTGAAACTCACATAGAAATTTAATATGACAGAAATAATCAATAATTTTTCTTATGAAAGCAAGGGTATCAGACTACTGCCTCCTTTCATCTCTAGTTTCAGGCTTTATAACCACTTTTCTCTCCTCTGAACTTCCTCTCCAGCCCTGATTTCACATGGTTAATCCAGATGTCAGAAAATGGCTTCAGAAATATTGACAATAAATCCTCAACATTTTAATATAATGAACAAAACAATCTAGGAATTATAGGTACCCAGGAGAGGACAGAGGATATAAAGGGAAAGATTAATGGTTATAAAATTGGTTAACATTTATTGCCAGGCACTGTGCTAAACTAAGCACCTTAAATATATTGTCTTCTTTAATCCTCACAATTACCCTGTAACAATGTTAGTACTTGTTATCACTATTATTCCTATTTTATTGTTAAGAAAACTGAACCTAAGAGAGATTAAGCAGCAGGGACTTAAATCCAGATGATTTTTAATTACTAAATCAGGCCTCTTGTATTATCAAAGGAGAGAGGAATTTTCAGGGACAGTCCCAGACTCTGGTTGTTATGAAAGCAGTTCCTCATCTAGAGTCCCCTATCTTGTTGAGTCAAACTTTATTGCCTTATCTCTGGGTAACCTACACATACACACACTACTTTTTTCTTGATTTGAGCACTTAACTCAATTTGTTTGTATCTCCAACACTTAGGAGTAACTATATATTATATCCATACATCTTTTATTTAAATGAGTTTTCCACAGTGATGATGGTTACAAATTAAGTCTTTCTGAATGGTAGTTACAACTTTGTTTGACATAATATATTCATTGTTATTTGCTGAAAAGTCATTATAATTTTGTGTGGCATAATACATTGAGTTCTTTTTGCTTACCATATGTCTGTTTCTGTTTTAAATTGTATATATCAGATTAATACTTATACTTTGATCCCCACCCCCATTTTAGGGCCAGATAGGTGACCCGGGACCCCAAGGACCATGTGGCCCTCCAGGACCAGAGGTAAAATGTTGGTTGGAAGATACTAAATTTGAAACAAAAGTAAAAATTAAACTTGATTGTAAAGCATGTTTTTACATAACAGGCTTAAGAAAGATTCTTGTTAAAATTCACATCTTTGTAAATAGTTTGGACTAAATCTTTTCTCCCATATTAAAAGGTATGCAACAGTGATCCCGAGGAAACAGAAAGGTATTAGCCACATTATAGTCCTGATTAGATCACAGCTGACTTATTTGTTTGGCACAACTATTAATAACACATACTTGGGGCATGAAATCAAATTTCAGGATAAACTCCATTGAATTTTTAATACAAAATGCTTCCAGTGTTTGCTGTATGCATATATCATTTAGATCTCATATTCTAGAATAAATATAATTAAGTCTATAGTACATATATCAAACTTGCTTGTTTATTCTTTGAAATATGACTTTGGCTGAATACTTGATGTAGAGTGTCTTTTTTTTTTCCTGCAAATTCACGTAGAACGCAAGCTTCTAACATGAAACATTTGAGTTTTTTAAAAATCATTTTATGAGTCAAAGATATGTACCACATGGAGATAAAGATTCTGAAGCTCACTCTAGTTCAGAAATATAAACCAAAAAAATATATGTACATACACATCTAATTCAGAATCATAGAAACAGCAATAAAGCTGAAAAAATGAGTTTGGCTTCAGAATAAATAAATCAGAACAGTAAACAATGTCAAAGCAGTAGGCAGAATTTCTAGAAATAGCACTGTACTGATGCTTTCTCCCTCTCTTTGTAAACCATAAAATCTACTTCTTACCCTGCATCTCTCTTTCAGGGTTGGCTGATTTCTTCAGCAAATGCCTATTCTTTCTTGTTGTCTCATTTAAAAACACACTCAATATTGGTAGTTCAAAAATCTAAAAAACTACATTGTACCTAGTTTTATTAACAAGGACATAGTAGGAGATAAAATACAGCAATATATCGATGTCAGCATTCTGGGAAGAAGGAAATTGTTTTGAGTAATTGAAGCAATTATTAACAGATAATTAAAATAGTAATTAACACATTAATATAAGTTTATATCTTCTGTAAGCCTGTATGCTTTTAATAATTTTTTCATGAAAACCTTCTTGGAATTAATTCTATTTACCTGTCTTCTCATACTGAGGATACAGAACCTAATTTATCTTTTATTATCTTTAAAGGTTATTATTATGAACATGGGTTCTATTGTAACTTTAGTTACAGATAGGATGCGTGCTAGGGAGGAATGTGTCACCTCCTAATTATCTGTATGGTTGGGATCATTTTCTCCTTTTTTCCTAAAGCCAAGTTAAAGGATGCATGGGCCATGTTTTTACTTATTACTTGGTCTTCCAAAGATGTTTCTTTTGAGATTTTACGATTTGCAATCATCATTCAAAACACTGTCTCATTGTATTTGATTTCTGTACTGCTAATACAAGGTCCTGAGCTCCAGCCTTGTCAGACTGTGCCCACGCCTCCTGCTCACCTGCATTAAATGTTTTCATTGGGCCAAAGATGTAACCTGTATTCATGTAATTGGTACAAGATTGTTTTGGAAAAGTGGTTTATTCTAAAGATCGTAAGTTTTTTTTTAATCATAAAAGTATAATGTGTAGGCAGTTATATATGAGGAAACACTTGTATCCAACTCCTTCTCAACATTAGACTTTTTTTTTATATTATGTATGTTATGTTAGTCACCATACAGTACATCATTAGTTTTTTTTAAAAATTTTTTAATGTTATGTTAATCCCCATACATTACATCATTAGTTTTAGATATAGTGTTTCATGATTCATTGTTTGTGCATAACACCCAGT